AATCCTACAAATAACATTAACATGTTTAAAACATCCAGTGTCTTCACATATTTGGGTATTAAAATTGTCCCAAAGGTGGAGGATGTAGTTATAACAAATTATGAATCTGTTTTTGATATGGTAGCAAAGTCAATTGAACGATGGACCTCACTACCCATCTCTGTAATAGGGAGAATAAATATACTAAAAATTTATATATTGCCTAAATTCTTATATTTATTTCAAAATATCCCTCTAGCACCTCCAAGCTCATTATTTTCTAGACTCAAGAAACTAAATCCATATGTAATAATAGAAGATCAAGACTCAGGCCTTACAGTTTATATCTGCCTTATATAATAGAAGATCAAGACTTAGGCTATCCCTTTTATATCTGCCTTATGATAGAGGAGGACTTCATTGCCCTAATTTTCAATGGTATTATTTGACAGCTCAATCAAGATTTATTATGTTTTTCTTTTCATCTTCTCAAGACCCACCTACTTGGCTAGAATTAGAAAAAAAATCAGTCAAATCAGATCTATCCCTGGATACATACTTATATGATTCAGATCGCAAAGTATTAAAGAAAATGTGACTAATCCAATAGTCTTAAACATGGTAAGGGTGTGGCATGAAACGCAGAGATATTTTAATATTTCATACACAAATTAATTATCTCGTTATTGCCCTATATGGGGAAATACTAAATTTATTCCGGGAAGAACAGATCTAGGCTTTAAATTATGGGCAAAAAGGGAATTTATATTGTGGAGGATTTATATGTGAAAGATAGATTGATGTCCTTTCAAGAGGTGATTACCAAATTTGATATGTCTAGAAATCAGTTTTTTAGGTATTTACAAGTAAGGAGTTTTATTTTGTCATTTCATAAATGTTTTATTAATATACCCCCTTTATCCATTTTGGAAAAGGAAATTACCAAAAATTGTAATAGTAAAGGTTTGATTTCACTTTTATATAACATGTTTGTAGAAGGATCTCAGGAGTCTGCAAACTCTCGTTTAGAGGCATGGAGGAAGGACCTCAATGAGGAGATTTCAATAGATGATTGGAGAGAGGCCTGCAGAGATGCTCAGATGCAAACTATTAATACAAGATTGAAACTGCTACAATATAATTGGCTAATGCGAGTGTATGTAACTCCAGTATTATTAAACAAATTTAATGAAAATATCATAGACATATGTCCTAAATGTAATTTATTTAAAGGTACTTTCTTTCATTGTGTATGGGAGTGTGAAGAAATCTTGAAGTTTTGGAAGGGAGTGCAAAATTCGATAAGTAAAATAATTAATGTTACTTACATATTCCCCTTGAACCAAATGTTTTTATATTAAATTTGTATCCTAATAACTTTAAATTGAGAAGAAGAGAACATATATTTGTTTATATGTGTACTCTACAAGCTAAACGTCTCATAGCTCTTCACTGGAAAAAGGTAGAGGCACCAAGTATAGGGAGATGGTTAAAGGAGTTGGCAACAAACATGTCATTGGAGAAAATAACATATATTATTAAGGGCAGATATAAGGCTTTTGAGGATGCTTGGAAACCCTTTATGATTTTCTTGGAAGGAGAAAATAATGGAGATGTATTTGATGGGATATTTGAAGACATATAATCAGTGAGTGTGCGGGAGGAGTGCGAGGATATAGTGCTGCTGATTAGTGCTGACAGACGGCGGTGCTCAGTAATCAGGTGATTGGGATCTGGTGAGTGTAGTTATTGGAGACTGAGGTGATTGTGGTGACTCCCTGACAGTACCCCCTCCTCCAGGTGCCCTATTACGGCGAAGGGGTCGGCCACGGCCTCTGGGTGCGGGACGGTCAGGGTGGTTCTGGTGAAACTCGGCCAGGAGAGAGGGATCCAGCACATCGTCCCGGGCCACTCAGGATCTTTCTTCTGGCTCGTATCCCTCCCAATCAATGAGGTATTCTAGACGACCACCCCGTCGCCGGGAGTCCAAGATGTCCTGCACCCTGTAGACTAGGGGCTCCTCGATGATCTCGGGAGGAGGAGGTACTGCTGGCTCGTCGGGTTCTGTGACGGAGGGAGAGGCAGGTTTTAGGAGTGAGACATGGAATGCTGGGTGGATACGATACCGGGCTGGGAGGTGGAGACGGAAGGTGACCTCATTAATCTGCCTCTCGATGGTGAAGGGACCGATGTAGCGGAGACTCAGCTTCCGGCAGGGCAGGCGGAGACGTAGATCCCGGGTGGAGAGCCAGACCTTATCTCCGGGACGATAGACGGGGGGGTAGACCGGTGGGCATCTGCGTAGGTCTTATGTCTCTGCACTGGCTGCTGGAGTTGAACATGAGCTGAGTCCCAAACTCTCTCGCTCACTCGGAACCAGTGGTCTACTGCTGGAACGTCGGAGGGTTCCCGTCCAGCGGAACAGAGGGTGTTGGTAGCCGATTATGCACTGGAACGGGGTGAGGCCGGTGGTGGTTTGCTTGAGGGAATTCTGTGAATACTCGGCCCACGGGAGGAAGCGGTTCCAGCTGTGCTGGTTGTCATGACAGTAGGCCCGGAGATACCTCCCAATCTCCTGTATCTTCCGTTCAGTCTGTCCGTTAGTCTGGGGCCGATATCCTGAGGATAGGCTAGGCGTGGGACCAGGGACGACTGGGGATGGGTAATGGGACCAATTTTCCGGCGGGCAAGTGATGTGGCGTTTTGGAAATGGCACAGACTGAGCATCCACGAACATACTGGGAGACATCCCGGGCCATACTGGGCCACCAGTACCGAGTTTGGAGGAGCGAGAGAGTACACTGGCTGCCTGGGTGTCCAGAGCCCGGGGAAGCATGAAGGGAGCCAAGAAGGGTAGAACTTAAAGGGGTCATATTATGCTATTTTAAAGATAATTATTTTGTGTATTTGGTGTAACAGAATATGTTGACATGCTTTAATGTTCAAAAAACACATTATTTTTCAAATACTGTACATTATTGTAGGTCCTCTATGCCCCGCCTCTCTCAAACACGTCGTTTTCAACAAAGCCCCCTCCTTTGACAAGCGCAGTCTGCTCTGATTGGCCAACTGACCCAGTGCATTGTGATTGGCCAAACACCACAAGCACGCGTCGGAAATGCAACGCCCCTTACCATAATCGCGAGCGTCAGCTCTCAAAGTAAATATCAAGATATTAATAATGTCGTTAGTTTTACCATCAGCTCAAGCCGAAAGGGCAACAGAGTCGTGTGACAGACACAGTGATGAAGCTGGTATGTGCTCTCTCGCGCTCTCTCTCTCTCTCGCTTGGATTTGAGACTTTAGTCTTTGCAACTTTACAGATCTTCTTTATGCACCAAGAGCTTGTAACACTCCAAAGAGAAAGGAAAACTTGAAATCGCATCATATGACCCCTTTAAGGAGGTGGGTATGTAGGTTTTACCTTCTGGGCCTCCCAGCGTAGCGGGTTCGGTCAGAGTGGCGAGGCGGATTTGTTCATCCAGGGCCCACCGGATGGGGTTAATAAGGATGGCTGGAGGAAGTATGGGTTCAGGTGCGGAGGTTTTGTCGGGGGCATGAATGCGGGAGAGTGAATCAGCCTTGACATTCTTGTTTCCTGGTTGATAAGTGATGGTGAATTGGAACCGGGTGAAGAAGAGGGCCCAGCGGGCCTGTCTGGGGTTTCGTCGCTTGGCACTGTGGAGATATTTGAGGTTTTTGTGGTCTGTGATGACAGTAAAGGGGTGTTGTGCTCCCTCCAGTCAGTGCCGCCATTCCTCCAGCGCCAGCTTGATGGCGAGCAGTTCCCGGTTTCCGATGTCATAGTTGCGCTCCGCTGGGGAAAGCTTCCTGGAGTAATAAACGCAAGGATGGAGTCGGGGAGGCTATGTGGTACTGTGACAGCACTATTCCCATGCCGGTGGTGAAGGCATCCACCTCTACGATGAACGGGAGTTGGGGATCCGGGTGTGTGAGGATGGTAGCAGTGCAGAAGGCCTCCTGGAGCTTCTTGAAGGCGGCTCGAGCTTCGGGGTTCCAAGACAGAGACTTGGGTTTCTGACGGACCATGGAAGTGAGGGGGGCAGAGAGGATACTGAAGTTCTGAATGAATCTACGGTAGAAATTGGCAAAGTCAAGTCAACTGTAGAGGATTAATTAGGAAAATAGTGTGTCAATAATGCAAAATGACAATTTTGTAAAAACTCATTTTTCAGTTAAAGGCAGTTCATCATTGAATTCAGTGATGTCATCATCCAGCTCCGTTCAGTTTAAATAGTATCTGTGCAATCAAGTCAACGATATCGCTGGAAATGAAGTGTCCCCAACTAAGCAAGCCAGAGGCGACAGCGGCAAGGAACCAAAACTCCATCGGTGACAGAATGGAGAAAAAACCTTGGGAGAAACCAGGCTCAGTCGGGGGGCCAGTTCTCCTCTGGCCAGACGAACCAGCAGTTCAATTCAAGGCTGCAGCAAAGTCACATTGTGCAGAGGAATCATCTGGTTCCTGTGGTCTTGTCCCGGTAATGATCAAAAAGTAGTTTGACCAATAACATGCAAGCATTGTACATAATGGACCAATCATGGCGTGTGAGAAGGTGGGATCTACG